GCATGAAGTCCTCTTAGGGGAAATAAAAAATCTATATGACACCGTGGTGTTCTCTGTCAAGTGAAGAAAGCATATATATTATGGCATGTAGATGATGAAGTACAAAATATGTGTCCTGAATCCTGTGTACACAAAGTGATGTGTAGTTGATCCTCATGGAATCATATGCACACTTGTCATCTAACCTGTCTTACGTCATATTATAAAAAGTACATCAAAATGTGTTAAAATATTTGAACGTGTTTATCTCCTTAAGATATGAATGTTAACAGAGCAAATGTATTATTGAAACATGTGATTTCAGTGCCCGGAGGCAATGACTAAGATATTTGATAACAGGGATCATTTAGAATTTTCCTACATGTTATACCATAGGACAGAGTCCCCAATTTCTCTTATCAAGAATAAAGGAAGGCATAGGTAATTTCAAAGTATATGGCATTTGGGGTTTTATCTTACAAATGTGGTAAGTTTATACACTGAATTTCAATCTTTCATATCCTATCACCCATCTTACTCTGACAAACGTACATAATGATTTTTTTAATTGAAATGTTTAGATTTAAATGCAATTATAAGAAACAATACTGCAAGACCTTGTGCCTGTCACATAGATACTACCTTTTAAAAGTATCCTACAAAATTAGAAAATTCATATAATCCACCAATCTAATTCTGATTTGATCAGTTGTACAAGTACTAATTTATGTCACCATGAGTGGCATTGACTCAATGACAGTGAGTCATTTGTATGTGCATCCATGTGTGTTCACATGGGTGAGTTTGTGTTTGCATGCATATGTGCATGAATGTATATTTAGTTCTAGGCAATTTTACCACCTATGTCAGTTTGTGTTTGCATCATCACAGCTAAGGTACAAAATAGTGCCACTACAGGAACTCTTCATGCTGCCAATTTCACTTTATCACCAGAAACCCCTTCCGTCCCTCTCTACTTCCTGCTCTCTCTAACCCTTTGTGATCACTCATTTAGTCTTCTATAGTCTCTACAGTTTTTTTTCCCCATTTCATAACATATACATGGATTCCATGTTGATTTACATTGATGCAATTTTTGGATGTGTTGGACACTTTTCTTAGTAACTTTTTGATATTACATTATATTTGTAGTGATGCAATGCTGATACCAGTAGAGAACATATATTGTTACTAAAGGGTAGAAGCATTATTTTCCTCAGGACTCATTGCTCCCAACCCAACCCACTTCTAAAATACCATTATCTTTAGCATTCCCTCTCTATACACTGAACATAAATTGATGTTATTTTTTATTTCAACCACCAAATAGGATTTGAAAAAAATCCATGAAGAAAATGGTATTTTGTTTTCCCCTAATTTATCCTTTCTTTAGTTCTTATACTTCCTTTTTTAAAAGTGTATTTCTTTTTTTTATTTATTTATTTTTTATATCACTTTATTGGGGGCTCATACAACCCTTATCACATTGCATACATACATACATTGTGTTAAGCACATTTGTTGCCCTCATCATTCTCAAAATGTTTGTTTTCTACTTGAGCCCTTGGCATCAGCTCCTCATTTTTCACCTCCCTCTCTGCCTCCCCTCCCTCATGAACCATTGATAATTTGTAAATTATTATTTTGTCATATCTTACACTCTTTGATGTCTCCCTTCACCCACTTTTCTGTTGTCTGTGCCATAGGGATGAGGCTATATATAGACCCTTGTAATCAGTTCCCCTTTTCCACCCCACCCTCCCTTTATCGCCACTCTCAGCATTGGTCCTGAAGGTTCATCTATCCTGGATTCCCTGTGTTTCTGGTTCCTATCTGTACCCGTGTACATCCTCTGGTCTAGCCAGATTTATCTTACTTCTTTCTTGATGCTCCGTAATTCCTCCTTTTACAGTTTCCTTTGCTTGAAGAAAATTTAAAATCTTTCTTTAAGGTCAGTCCTCTGGTGACTCATTTCTTAGTTTTGTTTCTTTTGAGAATATATTTATGCCCCAGTCATTCCTGAAGGATAACTATACTAGATATGAATTTAAAGTTAAAGTTTTCTCTCAGCACTCCAAAAATGTGCCACTTTTCCTGGCCTCGATCATTTCAGATGAAAAATCCATTATCATTCAAATGTGTTTCCTATAGGCAATATGTTATTCTATCTGCCTTTCTTTTTTCTTAGTTTTAGTTTTAAGAGTCTAATGTTGATGCGACTCGGCGTGAATTTCCTTATATTTATCCACTGTGGGCTTTCTTTAAGTTCTTGCTTCTTTATATCTTTAACACATTTGGGAAGCTGCCAGCAATTCTTTCAGCCTTTCTTTCTCCTCTCCTTCTGCAGCTCTGATGACAAAACATGTTTGTTCTCATTATCGTCCCACGGAATTTCCAAGTTTCATTTAAATTTTCCCAGTTTTCTAGTCTTCGGATCATTTAAATTTAGTTGATCTGCCCTTAAATCCACCTATACAGCTTCTGTCTTCTCTACTGGACAACTGAGTCAATCCAGCAACATTTTATTTTGGTTGACTTTATTTTTATTAATTTTAATTTAGTTAATTTTATAGCTTCTTTTCTATGTTATATTTTTCTATTTTGTTATTTGTTTCAAAATAATTAACCTTTGCTTATATTTTTATGATGGCTGTTTTGAAATCATTTTCACATCATTTAAACATCTGATCCTTCTCAGTGTCTGTATCTATCTGTTGTCTGTATTTCATTAATGTTAGGAATTTCGTGAGTTTGGGCATCACAAGTGTTATTGTGTTTTAATTTTTTTCAAAATCTTCCATGGCCATTTGACCATTAGGTTGAAAACTCTGACAATGTTCAGAAAGTTGTAAACTGCTAACCACAAGAGCAGAAGCTCAAACCCACCAGTTACTCTACTGGAGAAACTTAGACTATCTCCCCCCATAACCGTTTCCAGCCTTGGACCGTCTGTAAAGGGTCACTGGGAATCAGAATCAACTCAATCACAGTGGGTTTGGTTTTGAGGTTGGATATTCTAGGAGTCCTTGTGTTGGAGTAGTTACATGCTGGCCTGTGATCCGCAAGGTCAGCAGTTCAAAGCCACCAGCCACTCTGCAGGAGGAAAACCGGGCTTTCTACTCCAATTAACAGCTACAGTCTAACGGAGTCCCAGGGACAGTTCTACCTTGTCCTGCAGGATTATGGGGGGTTGGCATCAAATTGATGGCGGGGAGTTTGGTGTTCTGGCTGACCCGGTTAACCAGTTTAGGTTAGTACACAGGTTTTGGTCAATTTTGTAGACTCTGGTCCCAAAGGCAATTTAATTTTTAGTGACTGGAGCTAAAAGAGATTACTCTAATGGATGTGGATCTTCTAGCCTTCCCACTGATCACCATTGCTACCACCTCTGGGTATAGATACAGCTAGCCCAGACCAGACTACCTGGTAGTTACCAGTAGGACAAGGGATTCTCTAGCTATGGGCGAAAATAAAGTAGCTGTCCACTGGGTTCTCGTGCAAGCTGATCTCCTCTGTTAGTAGTTCCCAGTCTCCTGGTATCTCTAGTTGAGGAAGGGAAGTTTTAAGCCAGGTGGGGGAAGACATAACTTCCCCTTGGTGCTTAATATCAAGTAGGCTCTTGTGTCATTTCCATTTCTATTGCTATTAGGAGATCATGGTATGTTGGGTGGGACTCCCATTGGGTGGGGAATAATGAACCTAGCTGGTCTTTTGATGCTAGTTGAAATGGGGAGATGTAGGGACAGGATTGCTTCTAGTATAGTGTGGGACATATAAGGCATTCAGTTAGTGTCACTGCTAGAGTGTGGGTTTCCATAACCAGTATTTCCTCCTCTTTCCAGCTCTCAGAGTTCTCCATCAATACTCAGGTTGACTAGAGAAACAAATCCAGAGACACTCATAAATGTGTCAGAATGAGCTTTATATCAAAAACAACTGTATATTGAGAAAACACCCCAGGCAAGTCCAATCCATAAATTCCTCTTCAGACTCACATTGCCTATCGCAATGATACCAAATGCAGGAAGATCACAGGCCAGTGGGTGAAAAGTTTTATGGATTCAATGTCAGTGAAAGCATCACAGGGCTGTCTCCGCAGGTCACTGTCACATGGCTCACTCAGGTCTCAGTGTAGCGCCACATGGCCGGTCCACAGGAATCTGAAAGTTGAGAGAGGAAGTTCTCAGAATACTCATGAGGATTTCACATCCACAGGAGACATCATCAGGCTAGACTCCACCCCTATACTTATTTATCAAGTTGACATCAAATTATGTGACAACCACAATGATCTCTTGATTAATACAGGGTTTATCATTGTACTCATCCAGGCACATAATATTTAAGATTTCATTATGGTTTATCACAAAATGAATACTAGGAGCATAAATCAACAAATTGCTAAGAGATCCTATGCAACTCAATGTATTGTTATGTAATAAGTGATTTCAATGTGAAAGTATATTTTAGAATGTTTAACATATGGTCTGAAGAGAAACCTACCAATCAGAGAAAAATTAAATATCCAGCTCTTCACAATTGCCTGTTAGCTGAATGTCAACTCTGGTTTATATCCTCAGGAGGGTCTACTATAGAGGACTTTTAGGATATTCCTCATGGATCCCAGGAAGAGCTCGCAGAAGTCACAGTGTCGCAAACTGATTTCTTGACAAAAGGGAACATATTTTGTATATAATTTTTCTTGGCACTAGCATTGCTTAAAAGACTTTGAGGAAGAAAGCTGTCTTATCACCATCCACATCAAACTCATCCACAGTGTTGCATTAGATGCAATCATTTAATTAAAAAGTTCTTTCGGAGAACAATAAGGAGAGGACTTAGTTCTACTTTGATGAAAAAAAAGTATGATAAAGTATTTTATAGTATTTGCACTTAACTTTAAATTGTTTCAGGAAACAAGATTTCGATTATGACCACGTTTGTTTTGTTAAAATACGTAGAGTGCATAGTGCTGACATGTCTAAAGTTGTTATTCACAATTCCCACCTTTTCTCTTCTAGCTTTAAGAGACAATCGGATCGAGCTAGTTCGAGCTTCCTGGCATGAATTGAGTATCAGTGTCAGCGATGTGTCTCTCTCAGATGAAGGACAGTACACCTGTTCTCTATTCACCATGCCGGTCAAGACTTCCAAGGCCTATCTCACTGTTCTGGGTAAGGACCAGGTTTTAACTCAATGCGAACAAAACACCAGAGAGAAGTATATTGCTATAGCTCTATAATTAGATTTTAAGGATATACATGTTAATCATTTTAATAGCTATAAGTTAATCCATAATATGCTACATGGTAACAAAAAGCACATGTGAAATGAATTATTTCATGCTTACATAAATGGACAAAGGGAAACACAAAGATGTATGTAAAACCAAGATACGTGTTTGTTTCTCAGGAGGAATAAATGCCAGATTGCATGATTCTCCATAGAAATGTCTTTGTGTAAAACAACCCATATAGAGCTCAAATATATTGTGACCCTTTAGAAAGTCGCATTATCATGATCATAGTGAGTTCGCCATATGTCTATTCTGTGCTCTTCCATTTGATCATATATCAGCCAATAGGGTCTTCTCTAATATTTGATACACACACACACACACACACACACACACACACACACACACCTACTCTTCTGTAGATGAATGGATTCTGACTCACTGATTCATTATGATCCCATTGCGCCAGTTCCACTCTGTCCTATGTGGTTACTAGAACTGGCCAAGAGGTTTGGCAAGGCTCTAATTATTTATATAAGCTACTGCCCAAACTTTCTTTGAAGGTTTGCATTGCTCACTCTCCAGAAAAATAGCTGATCACTTTAAGCACTGCACCACCAGGGACTATATTTCAAACATGACATATATCATATATACTCGAGTATAAGCTGACCTGAATATCAGCCGAGGCACTGAATTTTACCACAAACTGCATTAAAAATGTGCTTTAAAATTTGGCTTATACTTGAGTATATACGGTATGTATGTGCGCACACACATATATAGGATAGGTCAAGTATCCTAACATTTCTACAAGTCTTTCTGCCTTCCAACTTTGTATTTTCTAGATTTCCAATTGAAGTGCATAATGTCACCGGTGCATGCAGCTTGTAGCTTCTTTGTGCTTTTATTCTCTAAATATTGGACCATTTTCCCAAAGGTTAAAGTGACACAAAAAAGCAATACATTCATACAGATTCGGAGGAAATAAAGTTGCAGCTTTGAGCTCTTGGTGATTTCACAGACATCAGTGGCCCAATCAGCTGAAATTGCTGTAGTTCATTGAAACACACCTGTGTACTGAACAAGTTAGAGGAATTTAAAGATTGATTTTTTTTTTTGCCCCTAGCCTTCCTTCCTTTTTAGACAGCTAAAGCCAGAAAGTTGCATTTAAAATAACTAATACATGCTGTTCTTTTGGATGGGAATATTAAAGTTAATCCAGCTAGTGAATTGGTTTTGTGCATGGGATATGAAATATGTTTCTTTGCAAGTCTCACTGGAACTATTTTATAAAAATCTTCACAAGTTTGCCATTAAGGATAAAATACACCAACGAAAATGGAATAATTCAGAATAATAACTGCCTATGGATAATCTATTGTTCTATAGAGAGCCACCTTAGGATGCAGCTTATTAAATGGTGATGTGCCAAAGATTAAAAAAATGCAAAGGTGAAAAGAATAACAACACAAACAAGCCAACAAAAAAGAAACTTGCCAGCTAATAGAAGTAGGCTGTTATGATTTATCTTTGTTGTTGTTGTTTTAAATTTCATTTCTCATATTGATGCTTTGCAACATCCTTATGATTTATTCTTCTCAAAATGAATTAAATAACCCAAATTATGAGTCTACCTTTATTATTGATTCATTTTCAAAGAAATTTTTCAAATGTTTGCCATGACAACAGACGAATATTGTTAGTAAATGCATCTCATTATATTATTTAATTCACCCATGTAATATCCCTGAATACTAATTATCAGCTTATTTACTGGATGATTTGGATTAGGAAAGGTAATACGTATTTCGCATTAGAAATTATACATATCATGCTTCATAAAACTAAAATTGCATTTCTTATATAAACAACATCAAGACATGTTTTACTTTAGAAGAATCAGAAAAATAAACGTAATTGCAAGACCTTGATGTATCCCTTGATCCAAGTACATTTTCCATCAAAGCATACAGAAGACATTCTCATTTATAATTTATGAATTATAAAATCATCGTGTTAATTGAATCACAATATCCTACATAATAAATGTAATGTCTCTTGTAAATATTTTTTCCAATGTAAACAGTACATTTTCTTAAAAATTTGTCATATATATTAATATATAATGAACTCTATACAAATATACTATATATACACAAATATAGTGCACTATATATAGTATCTTACAGGTCATTTGTTTTATAGCAATTTATTATTGATTGATATATGCTTTGTTAAACCACCAATTTTAGCAGCTTTGTGTGTGATGGTAACAGTCACAAAATGGAATCCATTCTGAAGAATGTTTTTAACTTTATTTGTTTGTTGGATTTTCAGGGGTTCCTGAGAAGCCTCAAATTAGTGGGTTTTCATCACCAGTCATGGAAGGGGACCTGATGCAACTGACTTGCAAAACCTCGGGCAGCAAACCTGCAGCTGACCTCAGATGGTTTAAAGACGACAAAGAGATTAAAGGTAAAAGTGCATAATTGCTCCAGATCATTCTAGAATGAGTATTCTAAAAGGATTAAAATGATCATGGATGCTATCATGTTAGAAAAAGGATATGATATATATGTACATATATACATATCTATATATAGAAAAAGAGATATAGATAGATAGATAGATAGATGTTAGATAGATAGAAGATAGATAGATAGATAGATAATAGATAGATGATAGATAGATAGATGATAGACAGATAGATAGACAGACATAGAGACAGAGACACAGATTGCGATATATAAGCTACAGTGTCACTTTCTGGTTAAGTGTAATTTGAACGAATTTTCCAACTTCTTAAATTAGGTAATTTTTCAATCTATACTGTGTGCCACATTTTCTTCTACTATAAAATGAGTTAAAAATAATAGGGACCTCAGCAGATAACTGAGTAAATGAGTTTACTATATGAACAACATGCAATGTGGTTGGTTCTGTGTGTGAGCAATACAACCAAAGAAAAGAACACAGCTCTAGTGCCATTGAGTCAATTCTGACTCAGTGACCCACAGGACAAGGTAGAACTGTTCCATAGGGTTTCCAAGGCTGTACATCTTTCGTGATGCAGACTGCTTCATCCTTCTCCCACTGAGTGCCGGGGGTTTGATCTGTCAACCGGACCTTTCAGTTAAGTGTCCGAGTGTTTTTCCAGTGTACTATCAGGATTGCTGTTTCACAAGTCAGGCGTAGACAGAAAAACTGCATGGGTTTTCTATCTGCAACTTACTGGTTCCTGGAATTATAAAGTTCTGAAAATAAAACTGGCTCACAATAGATCTGATCCCTAGTGGGTTTCACAGTGTGTGTCAGAGTGTGGGTGTATCAGTAAAAATCGAGATATTCAGCATATTCCTCTTCTTACTTGATAAACTTAAAATTTTAAATACATATGCAAAAATCTATTCATTTTTTTAGAGGGGCAAGACATTTATCGTAGTGTTTTTATTCCCCTGCATACAAATACCTTGGACTTGATGCCACAACTGAAATCCACTGACATTGATTCAATTCTCACTCACAGTGAACCATATTACTGCTCCATCAGGTCTCTGAGGCTACAGATCCTTACTGATGCAGACTAGGTCTGATGTCACAAGCACATTGATATCGAGGTAGAAGATATTATTATGATGATTTTAAGACACATGTTTGCTATACATACGGTGACATATATTGTTCTTAAATATACCTTCTGTGAGATTGGCTAATAATAATCATTTTGATTAATTTAGATATAATATCTTATATAAACAATAATTAATAGTGATAAGATGTAAGACTGGCTATTTAACTGAAAAATTATAGGTTTGCAATCTATATAATTATTCTATCTATTGAGTCTTAGACATACACACAAAAGACAGTCTTAACTATAATTTAACCTAATCGTTACCTTTGCCTTAGAATTTGGGTATTTTTTATTGAACTGAATTTGAATAACTATAAATCCTGATATACAAATTAGGCATCTAGCACAGTTAAACTGTTAAGGTACATTGTAACTTGATTCTCACAGCCTGCTCAGGCTCAGTAGCGATCATTCTAATTCTTCTTCAAGGATATGTTTATCTAGGCATGTCTGGATTTAGCAGTTTCCTAAATGGAAACATCACTAATTCCAGATTTGTCTTACAACAAAGGTCGGATCAGGCCACTTTTACGGCTCAACCACTTCTGATGGAAACCTTAGCCTGCGGAAGAAATTCCAAATTCCCATTCGATGAACTGAAATAATTCTCTAGGTGGCAAATTGTTACACAAGTGTGTCCTTTGGGGTGAAAGTCTCAGTTTTTACTAGAATGCCCTTTTATGTACCACACTCTGTATGTACCAAGAAACTGCCTCATTATCTTTATGTGCCCCTTTTTAATGATGACAGAGCTAGGAAGTTCACAAATACTTTTGTTAATAAAAATAAGACACGAATGTCAAGCACAGCTGTTCTTTCCAGCTTTTCCCTGGTCTCTTACACCACACACTCCTTTCACCATCACACAGTCTCTCTGCTCAGGGCAGTAATTTGCTTCCGTGTCACATATAACTGATGGACTTATTAGGACATCGTGGTTTATTAGGACTGTTCTGAAGTAACAGGACACAGATAGGCAGGTAAAACAGGATAGAATTCGGGAGCAATTCAAAGCCACATGAAGATATTCTTGGATGAATTTTGGAAAGACGTCCAAATGAAGGGCATCTCCAGCCTCAGGAAGCCCTCTTCTGGATTCTCCGTGCCAGCACATTTCTTGACCCATCCAAGCATTCACTGTTAGCTAGTGAGTGAACTCCCAGATCAGCTCACAGCTATTAAAACAAATGGTTAGAGTTGGCCATGATAGGCCAAGTACTCTCAGGGTTACTCCACAGATTCTAGAGATAAAGGAGAAACCACTGGGGTAAAATAACTCCGAGCCCCACATGACTCAAATCAGAGGTTCTACTCCATGTATTTGTAGTTTCACGAGAAATCTATGATGTTTTCAAACTTCTGCGAACATTTATTTTTTAAAAATAAATTCTGCTCTGAGTGACAATGAGGGTGAATCTTTGTTTATAATAAAGCTATGATTACGTTTGATCTGGTAAACCACCACATTTTATATTACTTCCACAAGACTCACCTATCAAGATGAATGTGTACAAGGACTCCTTACATGGTTCTGTGCTGTGTAAACAGGGAGTGGCCCCAACCCAGTGCCATTGTTGACTCACAGTGATCCTTTATAGGGTTTCTGAGGCTATAAATCGTTATGGGATTTCTCATGTTTCTACCACGGATCAGCCAGTGGATTAGAACCACCGACATGGGTATTGACAATCTAACACTTACCATAAAAAAAACAACACAAGGACTCAATAGAGGTAATGAAATCTCATTTTTCCTACTAATTCCTGACCACTTAAAACACATTTTATTATCCCAACACTTAGATTCATCTATAGCTTTTTGTGATTTACGTATTTTTCTATTTTACAGAGCTCGCCTCCTCAAACAGATCTTGAACTTCCAGAGTAACATACATTTTAATTTTGTAAGGGCTTATGGAAGTCTGATGAGTGCAGCAGTCTAAACAGAATGCACATGCAGTACTTTGGCTGTCTTATGGATTTCCTAAGTATAATGACATTAAAAAATCTCTCAGTAAACACTCCTCACTGAAAGGACTTTGCCCTTATCTCGGGCCAGTCTGTCTTCCCAGGGGTTAAAATTTGATTTCTTATTGCAGTTTCAATTGTCTCTTATTACAATAACACTTGACATCTTTCGAAAACACAATTCATAGTGTAAAACAAAGGTAAACAATAGGATTCTTCAATATAGTTCAATTCTGTAAGAAATCATTGAGTACCTCCTAATTTCACAGTATTCTGTGGTGCATGAGTGATGATCCAAATGAATATTTATGACCTGGAAGCATTTACGATGTCTTTAGAGAGATGAGACACTTAGGAAGAATATTTTCCTATAAAGAAGAATATAATACATACTTTAATTTCCAAAGTGTTTATTAAAGGGAAAGGGAAGTTTAATTTATGCTTGTATCTAAGCATTTACTAGTTCAGCTGATTAACCCTACATTGATTTCTAAGCTCTATACATTGGAAGAGCCCCAGTAGCATAGTGGTTACACACTGGACTAATAACCTCAAGGTCAGTACTTGGAAATGATCAGCCACTCACTGTGCAAGAAAGCAAGGAACCTTCCGTGCCCGGAGAGAGTAATAGACTTGGAAACCTGAGGTGCAGTTCTACTGAGTCTGAGATGGTTGCTATGTGTCAGAATTGACTGGATGACAGGAAGCTCTTTTTGTGTTTCATTTGTTTTGTTTTGTTTTTTTGTTGTACAATGAATGTGAAGACCTGCAAGGTGAGCTATATTTTCAGTATGATATGTATTTCTATAAAATTCTCTGTCATCTCTCCATTACTATCTAACATATGAATATAATTTACAAATTTTTGCATGAAAGTTGTTTGAAAATACCTGTTGATCACATGTTCATCGCCAGGGTCATTTCACATTACCATAGTGAGCAATAGTTCTCAGACCTTAGATTCCACCCTCATTTCCATTGAGCCTTATTAAGTCTCAGGTTATACTATTTGAACTGATTTTCTGAGTGTGTAGGTCTGGGGTGAGCTGAGGCTGAAAATCTCCATTTTTTACCAATTCATAGGTGATAATTTTACCTCTATTTCAGCAGTTCTCAACCTGTGGGTCGTGACCCCTCTGGGGGGGTTGAACAACCCTTTCACAGGGGTCTCCAAATTCATAACCATACTAAAATTACAGTTAAGAAGTAGCAACGAAAAGAATTTTATGGTTGGGGTCACTACAACATGAAGAACTGTATGAAAGGGTCGGGGCATTAGGAAGGTGGAGAACCACTGCTCTATTTGAAGACAACACTGTTCTACAGAATATAAAATTGTGATGTGTGTGAGATTGGGTTTTCTAGAGAAACCGCTTATGTTCACATATGTAAAAGAATAAAAAGAAATTTAGATCAGGAAGACAACCCACACAATTGCAGGATGGCAAACCCATTCTGACGCCAGCTTGTGATGCAGCATTGGAGGCCCCTCTTGACTCACACAGCTATTGGGGTGATGAACACAGAAGATGCAGGTGGGAAGACCACAGACTGGTGGAGACAGAATCAAGTACATCCAAGGCAAGGGATATTACAGGCTGGTAACAGCTCTTAAGTGTTGACAGCATGGTGGCCACTATCCAATCACAGGAAGCCAGATGAAAGATGCAGGCCAGAAGCTATAGGAATAGAGAGAACCATACACACAGCATATCTTATAGAGATCATGCCACTAAGGAAATGTCATCAGGTTAGATTCTATCCATGTCTTCCCACTGGTGCAGCCCAGTTGACATAAAATCTAACTATCGTAAGAGGTACCTGTAATTTAGATAATGCTTGTCTTAGTCTCAGAGCTTTAGTTTCTTTTCTAC